CTTAGATAATTTATAGTAAAATATTTGCACATTACAATGAACTGGTTGCATAGACTTCATAATAAAGTTTTGTAATAATAATTCTATAAATATAATAAAGGCAAAAGTTTGTGTTGATGGATAGATGAATGTTTGTTACTTTTTCATGCTAAACTACTAAATTACTTGAATGAAATTTAGTACACAGTTTGGTATCCTAACTTAGTACATCATCATCATTATATTTGCTGTTACCTGTCCATTGCTAAACCTAGGCCTCCCTATAGACTGTTATAAGGAACAATATACACTTATACAAATTGATTCATTATGCTATAGCAAACGTTCTCGTAAACCGGTCACGTATTTAGAGAAGTAGGGGTCACTTAACTTGAGTTCTGTAGTTAATGAAAAACTCTTCGTTACTGGATCGGAAAAGATCCAGCCAAATTTATTTGAAGCACATCGCGGCAAATACAAAGTACCGTTGGGGTCCAAAAGGTTACCAGGTCAATGAAGATATCAATAACTATTAGCAATAAACATCACGTGTCGTGTGTTGCCATCCCAATTAAAAATAATAAATAAAGATTATTTCCAACAAAAACATCGACTTCAATTGTGTAATAAACCAATTATTTTAATTTCAAAACTAAACTACTAAACGGAATTAGCAGCGAACTATAAAAATGGGTGAAAGATCATGGAAAGGTCGCAGTGTTATAGGTTTCTCTGTCTAAAAAAGCCCATCTTTCAATTATAATAATAATCCATTTTGATAAAATTTCTTACGCACTAATCTATAAGCTAAATCGATTTATATGTGACGTAGTTATACATTAAAAAAAAATACAACCGAACTCAGAGCCTTTTTCTTTTAGTAGTCGATTAAAAAATAGATTTTCAGTTTGAGTTCTAAAAACGAAAAATCACTGTATACAAATAAAAAACAGTTTTAATTACGTAAATAATAATAGAATAATAATAAACGTTTTCCATCTGTTAAGGATTAAAAGGAGGTTTAAGATGTGACATATTGTATTTTTTTTATTATGCAAAGCTATCGCGTAACATACAAAATTCTTGTCACTTGCATCGAGCTACATAGGGCGAGTAAAACTGTCAGCATGTAAGCTGCCCACTACTACCAGTTCTCTACAACTTTGATGTATCTATGGTATTATTTTAAGTGTTTCATTGTATTCAAAAAAGTTGTGAGATAAAATAAATAAACATTATTATTCCAGACAAATTATCATATTGAAGACTAGGCAGTATGGTCTCCGACCTTAGCCTGTTCCACGATGGAACAAACATACTAAAAAAAAAATATAATTATTATTACTCCGGAGAGTAGTGAAGAGCGCCTTTGATGTTGAAGATAACCTAGAGGGCGCCTTGAGTAGATATATAAAAAGATATGAAATAAATCCACATACATATATCCATTGTATTAGCTATATTGTAATACGCTATCTGCAGAAGTCTTAGGAACTAGTAAACGAGGTCTTGGCTTTAAGAAAAAAAATTTTTTATACAACTTAGAATGGCAAGCAAGGTAACGGCCCACCTGATGGAAAGTGGTAACCGTCGCCTATAGACATGAGCAGTACCATGGACATAACAGAGTATACTGTTTCGACCATGATATGTCCCCCATGTGTTGCCATTCCTGAGGACTCGGGTATTATTCCTCTGTACCCTGTAAATTCACGCCATATCTCATCCTTCAAACCGAAACACAGTCATGTAAACACAACTGCTTCACGGTTGAAACACGAATGGGACAGAGGTACACAAGCAATCGACTTTTGTACAAAGTCTGTCCAAAATTTGTACAAAGCAAATCCAGGAAAAAACAGTCAGTATGGAATAGATGGAAAACAAATAAATAATGCAAAGAAAAAAAGCGTAACACAATTTCTATTAGGTTATCGCGCAGCTCGAAGTTTATAGGAAGAACTCACTTCCTTATTTCCTCGCCACCCCCAACTTGGTAAATGTCGTTATTTCTAAATCTATTTTCTGGTATTTCTTAAGGTGAAACGCAATAATTCAATCATACGAATTTACATTATTGTTATTTTTAGGATTCCATACCTCCACAGGAAGAAACGGAACCCATATAGGATAGCTTTGTTATCTCTCTGTCTGTCCATCCTGTCAAGAACTTTTTACTTAGGAAAGCGTGAAGGTACCAAGTCCACGGCTGAACATAGGCTTTTATAAATTAATTTAATATTTTTCTATATCAGGCATTAACTGTCCACTGCTAACGCTGTTTTTCCCTTAAGAGGAGTTTTGCTAGTAGTTGTCATGCTTGGCAAGCGGGTTGGCAACCGTAGTTAGGCTTTCGAAGTTTTAAGAGGTACGCTGCTGTCCATCCCTCGACCATTAATTACAATACTGGAAAGTTAAAAATGTTTACACGAATCTGTTTACTTGTAAATTTTCCTGTGTAAATTAAGATAAAAAAAATATATAATATATATATATTTTTGTGTACTAAAGTAACTTGTGTTTTTAGGTCAACTAAATTTCAATTAAATTCGTCCAGTCGAAGTATGATTGAGTGACAAATATCAAAACCTTATCCCGAAATATCTTTAGAAAAATGTATAACTTTTGGTCAAGTTTTCTTATAATATTTTCATAGTTCTACCTACCTGTGTGTTATATATGTAAGCAATATCGATTTAGAAAAATGGTAAGTATTATTATATACAAATTCAATATAGGTATAAGACAGAATAGAGAATTATTATCCTCAATCTATGGAGTAAGTGTACTATTGCACGGTGAATGCTCAGTTAGGGAGCGTTCGTCGTGGAAAGAGAACGGTTCTATTCTTAATCTATGGAACTGCAGAAAAAAATATCTTTCTCGCAGTAATTAATCTGAGATTTACTCAGATTAATTACTGCGAGAAAGACCATAGACTTAGTATAAGGTATAATATACTTTATAATCTAAGTGAAAGACAGTTATTATTCTTAATCTTAGATTCGAATCAAATTCAAACCTATGAATTTTTTAAATTCAGAATTGAGGAGGTTCGAACTACGCATCGGACTGTATTTGACTAGCTTAATTAGGTAAAATTACCATACATATGTTAGAGTCCCTTATAATTTTAGTATGGGTTAATCGACTAATTAAAATTGACGCAGTTGATTAAACAATTTCATTCAATTTTGATGTCCGCTGCAACAATACGCTTAATAAGCTAAAATGATAAAAAACGTAGAAAAAATTACATCAACATGGTCTTTTATAAATGTATGCAAATGAGGTGTTTATGACGAATTGCCATAAATATGGGTTACAATAATAGATAATTTAAAAAATGACCTCTCGGTGTAGTGTTGGCAGTCACACACTTATTAATGGTAGCGGAATTAAACAAAATAAATGTAATTAAATAACCAGTGACTTGGACTTCCGCAAGACATACACCTAGTTTAGTAGAATATTTATATTTTGATTTATATTTAAAATTAGTTTAGTTATATAGATTATAAGTTTAAATTATTATATTGTTAATTAATGTTTTTTTTTAATCGGTGATAATGGAATGGTATCCCCACCCGCGCTATCGGTATACACCGGCAGAGCACCAGTGAAGGATGATAGGTGAGTATGAAGCAGGTCAGTCAGCCCATCGTGATGAATTCAACAAGAATTGTTCACGATGGTTTCCAGGGGGAACCACGTCGGGGTCGACCTAATAGGGAATATTGCTAGCAATGGGGTTGTCAAACTCCATTGCTAACAATCCCTATCCCCCCACCGATATTCTGTTGTGGCCATTTATATATTTCAATGTTGCTGTAATATATTAAAATGGTCAGTGAAATTGTCAACATTTGCAATTCCCGAATGGGAGCGATCCGTGGGGGAGCGAGAAGAATATGTTTGAATACAATGGAGTCGAGACACAAACATGCCTTATGTGCCATGGGTAACTGACCGTGGACAACAAACAGAAGCGGCACGGCACGACTGTTTGGTTACCGTCCCTTGCTCGCGTAATGGTCGAATAAAATTTATAGTTCATTAGGTACAATCGAGAAGTCTCTCGACTTGCACGAGGTGTTTCTTTTTTTTTGTTGTTCAACACTGATCAATAGAATCTAGATAGGACGGCTGCCTAGAACGTTTCGGTAAAAACGCCCGATCGGTTTTTTTTAAATGGCGCGTTTTAAGGAAACTATGAAATCATTATTTCATTTATTTATTTATTAGAATAGATATAATATTAATTTAAATAGATTGAATTACAAGTTGTTTTTATCGTCAGTTTTTTATGATTCTACTGCTGGGTTTGGAATATTGCTGGCTGCTGAGATGAATCCGCGAGAAACACAACAGTTACTCTTTTCAAATTAAGTACAAGATAACTAACATAAATATATAGTATTGGTACTGTGACTGTAATCAGCATTAATATATGTTTGTGTATTATTAAATGTAAAAAACTCGTAAACAAGTAAACATGAGCAGACCAGTCTCAACAAGCAACATCCGTTCACGAGTATGACGAATTAGTTAGCCATCATTGTGACTGATCTGTCACTGAATCTGAACTGTCAGGATGACTCTACTTTCAGACTTCTCGTACGGTATATAATATATATATATATATATATATATATATATATATATATATATATATATATATATATATATATATATATGGTTTCAAGATTTCGCGTGAACAAACATTTTGACACGAGATTTTTATATGTTAAGATTAGTAGACAGATAAGTATCAATTTTTAATCATTTACTTACAAAAAATACAATAAAGAGTTAAATAATTAAATAAATAATTTTTAGGTTGCTAAGTTTTTTTTTTTACAGTTCTCCACATATCCGTCAGTATTCTACGACTATGACGATATGTGGTCTTTGTTTTAGGGCTCGGTATGCAAAGTAATAAGATGGTTACATGAAATGATAATGAATAGAGATTGATATTAATTGACACACCACTACGATGTGTATAATTATTTACTGACCTGGTTGACGGAGATGCGTGTGCGCATCGAGTGTCGATTTCGACATGGCCGATAACGAATTGGTGCCATAGCCTGTAACAAGAAAAGAATAAGAATTAGACGTTACATAATTACGATTGTATGTTGTATGACACAAAAAAAATCTTTTTATGCAACTTAGAATGGCAAACAAGCTGACGGCCCACCTGATGGAAATTGGTAACCGTTGTCTTTACACATGAGCAGTATAACAGAGTATACTGTTTTGCCTATGATACTCCCCCCCCCCCATGCGTTGCCATTCCTGAGGACTCGGATATTATTCCTCTGTATCCTGGAAATTCACGCAATATCCCACCCTCCAAACTGAGACACAGCCATGCAAACACAACTGCTTCACGCTAGAAACACGAATGGGACAGAGGTGCCTAAGGAAATGACTTTTGTAAAAAGTCTCCCTCTGGTATATGTGTATGTGAGTATATTCTTTAAGATAAAAAAATAATTATCCAAATCGGCTTGCAAATGACGGACTTATAAGGTAAACAAACAAAAAAAATTCAACCGAATTGAGAACTTTCGAAAGTTTTGGAGTCGAATGAAAAATTGTTGAGGGTTCATGTAAATAAGAAGTCTGATTTGAAAATAGTAAAACATAGCATAAACTAAAGTGTCTATGGTAGGTATATAAAACAGATATAGTAATGTCCCATAGATAGAAGATTTAAGGACAGTATTATTTAATTAAAATAACTGCTACAAATGATTTTTATTTTCTATTTTTTAAAGAAATAAAATTTTAAAATATCGAAAAGGCTCAAATTTTGATAAATCGTATTACAACATTGTAGCACTTTGGCACTAAATGTTAAAGATATAAATTAAGGTATGATATAAGGATAGAAGGATAGAAATGTAAAATTTGGATTCCAGCAATAGAAATAATAACAATTAAGAAATTGGAATCAAGTGTTCTAAAGAATTCCATTGCCCCGTTCAAATTATAGAAAAAATTGCATAATTTTTAATCCATCGATTCGTCTTATTACTGTCCTGGTAGGTATATCTATGTTTTTTGAAACAGCCAAGTGCAGAATAGGGTAAAATGTTCAAAAAAAAGATATTTTTTTCGAAACAAACGTTTACCAATCTCCCATCAATTTGTTGAACTTCATTTGTATTAAGTGAAATATGGTACAATAATACAATTTTCTCTTATTGTGCTTTAGAAAAGATTGTATAAAACAATCAGCCGTCAATATCGAATGGTTAAGGACAAAGAAATGGCAAATTACCGATTTTTCCAATCTCCACTCAATCACACCAATAATGCTATTATTCTACGTCGAAACAGTAATTGTTCATTCGAATTCCGACTTAAACGCACACGTTTAAAGGCCGGTTTTACTTTTCCAACGAGTTTTGGTTGAACATTGGGGGTACTTGATTAAAAAATGACGGGCATTGTTTTTTTTTTCTCAGACACAATTTCACTTGTATCTGCTTGCAAGTTGGCTTGGCATTGGTTACCAATTGATACCATTCTTAACCTCGGAAATCAATGTACCATCTTTCTTTTTTTAAATAAAAATAATTCCGCTGTTAGGACATTGAATATTAATATTTTTCCGTTTACTGAAGTTTTTAAAAAGGATCATTTTTTTAATGGATGAAGATGGAATGGCAACCCCGCCTGCGCTATTGGTATACGCTGGCGGGACACCTGTGGGGGATGATAGTTGAGGATGAAAGCAGGTCAGTTGGCCCATAGTGACCAATTTAACAAAAACTAACCACTATGGTTTCCAGGGTGGACCGCGTGGAGGTCGACCTGATTACTGACAATCCCTTTCCTCTCAAAAAGGTTTATTAAGTGTATGATTAGAAAATACAAGAGCGTCATTAATGATCGTAGATTGTTTTTACAAAAAGAAATATCTAACGACCCAGAGGAAGACTTTGTACAAAAGTCGATTGCTTGAGTACCTCTGTCCCATTCGTGTTTCAACCGTGAAGAAGATGTGTTTGCATGGCTGTGTTTCGGTTTGAAGGGTGGGATATGGCGTGAATTTACAGGGTACAGAGGAATAACACCTGAATCTTCAGGAATGGCAACGCATGGGAGGTACCATGGGCGAAACAGTATACTCTGTTATGTCCATGGTACTGCTCATGTCTATAGGCGACAGTTACCACTTTCCATCAGGTGGGCCGTCAGCTTGTTTGCCATTCTAAGTTGTATATAAAAAAAAAAATAACTACGATATAAATATCAAACATATGAGTCCCTAGAAACGACATTGCAGACACGAGGTATTTGAAGCACCGTTGTCCAATGCATCGTGCTTATTAAAAGCCATGTTTTATAACTCTAATATCTACTATCTTTAAATGTCGACACTTACAATTAACTAATTAAATAAAACAATTATATACGTGTTTAGAATAATCATTTGGACATGTGTAATTGATAAATTTTTGCTTTAAAAAAGGTAAGCCACTAACACGTGCTGAGACAAAATTTGCATGCATTTAGATAAGGCGAAATGTGTAGCCCTATTATTATTTAAGGGCATTTGTATCACAAATTTGAGCAAAAAAAATATTATTATTATTAATGAGCTTAGTGTCTCAGCGAAATCGTTTTATAATTAAACTACAATCACTTCATCAGAAGCATCACGTTCTATTCGTTGACAATATTGGCCATTATTCCTTCAGGGGGCTAACAGTGCCTCGGGCTGCGTCCCTGTCTATGCCATTTGAATTTGCACCTTACTACAATTGACATTCAATATATTTTCAATTGCTTTCGTATAGAGGATTAGATGCTCTTTGATGCTGCAATCAGATTTCACGCATTGTTAGCGTTGGAGCAACATTGTGGAAACTCTTTTGATTTTGGGTGTATTTTTGATTCCATGTCTTTCGGTCCTTTGATTTTTTTTCTAGGGTGATAGTGATTGTTTTCTATCGAGGGAGGTGATGCTACTTCATAATATTTATGTGAAGAATAATAACAGCTTTGTCCTTTATGACTTTGAATACATAATTCACAAACTGTCTGTTCGATTTTGTTCTCAGGATTGCAGTGAACAGTGCTAATGCCTTTCTTTATGTCATTACCATCATCTTTATCATCATATTAGTCGTCTACTATCCACTGATGATCATAGTATCCCAAAAGGGAAGTTTTGCCAATAGTCGCCACGTTTGGCACTCAGATTGGCATGCGCTGTTAGGTTTTGGTGATTTATTTTTTACATAACTTAGAATGGCAAACAAGCTAACGGCCCACCTGATAGAAAATGGTAACCGTCGCCTATAGATATGAGCAGTACCATGGACATAACAGAGTATACTGTTTCGCCCATGATACCCCCATGCGTTGCCATTCATGAGAACTCAGGTGTTATTCCTCTGTACCTTGTAAATTCACGCCATATCCCACCCTTCAAACCGAAACACAGCCATGCAAACACAACTACTTCACGGTTGAAACACGAATGGGATAGAGTTACCTAAGCAATCGACTTTTGTACAAAGTCTCCCTCTGGTGTATGTTCTAAGAGGCACGCTTCTTCACGCCTAATTTATAAGATTCAAGATTTTGGAAAAAGCATCAAATGCTTCTCTTTCAACCGTCTTCAAAAAGAAAGAGGTTTTCCGTACGGTTGTAAGTTTTATATTTGTTATGTCCTAACTCCTTCAGTTCTAAATCGATTTGGGAATTTTTTTATCTGAAATGAAAATAAATTTGAAACTCACAGATTGGTTTCGTAGAAATTCTATAAAAAACTGTTTATTTTTTACAATCAAAGTCGGTTTCTTTTGCGGAACACTATCTTTAGTTATTATAAACTAATATGATATTTAAAATACCATTGCATAAAAAAAAAGGGCATATATGTGCTCTCATGAGACATATTTTTGCCTATAGCTGAAGTCTCCGCTTCTTGAGGTGGGCATTAAAAATGATTGGGTTGGGCACGACCCACTCGGCCCCCTATAAATACGCCTGTAAAATAGATATCATTCGAATGTCCGTACATCACAAAGGGTAATAATAATCGGCTGTCTAACAGACGGAGGGTACCCCTCAAAAGTTTAAATTAAAGCTCGAGAGGCCGTCAGAACCACAAATTAGATATCTCATTACCCCTGATCAAAGGATTCTAACGCCAAAACTGTTTGCGGGGCGTCGGTGCGAGGTTACGTACTAGTGTTGTTTAATAATCGATAGTAAAACCATCGATTGTTAAGACAAATAATCGATTATAATCGATATTATAACATAATCAGTTATTTACAATTGAATTGGATTAGCGATCTACGTAATGGATACTATTAGGCGCCAATCATTATTGATGATTTAAAAATAAATATGTATTTATTCCATAGTATTGCTAAATAAATTACCCTTACCAGAGGGAGACTTTGTACAAAAGTCGTTTGCTAGGGCACCTTTGTCCCATTGCTGTTTTTCGGGTTGAAGGGTGGGATATGGCAGTGAATTTACAGGGTACCGAGGAATAATACCCGAGTCCTCAGGAATGGCAACGCATGCGGGACCCTCCCATCATGGGAGAAACAGTATGCTTTGTTATGTCCATGGACACTGCTCGTGTCTATAGGCGATGGTTACTACTTTCTATCAGGTGGGCCGTCAGCTTCTTTGCTATTTTAAATCGTATAAAAATACTGAAAATTTAATAAATCTATTTTAGCAAATTGAATGCTTTATCGTTTCTTAGTTTGAAAGATTTAATAATTGAAATAGATTTACAATAGGTTTAGTTTAGTTTGTAAATAAGAGATTGTAATCGATTATGTAAAACTTTATGGGATCACAATCGATTAATCGATAATAATCAGTTGTTAACAACACTATTGCGAACAGAAGAGTGTTGTAATAGGGACGTCAGATTATTGCTTGCAGTGCGAAACGCCTGCGGTGATCTGCTTTAAACAAACAATCAATTTCTACTTAGCATAACTCGAATATACAGGACGACAGAGTCGTGAGGTAACAAACATAAAGAAAATCGAACCAAATTGAAAATAAATCAAATTGTAATTATTCGCTTGCTACA